AACACATGAAATATTGAGTTATAAAAAAGTTGCTTCCCTCGGCATTTTCAATGTCTAGTGGTCATTTGGCTGGTTTTGTCCATTTCACTACTATAGGGGGGAAGGGCTGCCCACTATGCCCGGCCGGGTCCCCCCCGTGCGCCCGGCCGGCTCCCAAATTTCTGCCCGACCGTCCCCCCCCCCGTGCGCCCGACCGGCTCCCAAGTTGCTGCCCACCGGCCCAGCCGGTGCCCGCACGTCGCCAATAAATTGCTGCCCACCGGCTGGCCGGTGCCCATCGCTGCCAGAAATTTGCTGCACCCCGGCTGGCCGGTGCCCACAATTCGCAGCCCGTCGGCCCGCCGGAGCCCGGTCCGAAATAAATATTTTTTTATTATATATATTTATATATATATAATAATAGCCTTAGCCTTAGCCTTTGCCTTTGCCTTCGCCGGCCGCCGGGCGGCGGGCGTCGGGTGCGGTGCGAAAAACGTCGGGGGCGACTAGTGTTGGCAAGGCAGCCCCGCACACCTTGGCTGGGCCGGTGCCGAAAGTCCGAAAATTTTCCGACCCAAAAAAAATAATAAAAAATACGAGGGCGTAGGAAATTGAATTTGGCACGGTGGTTGTCGGGGCCGTTTTCTCAGATTTCGAGAATTGCTCCGAAAACGTCGGGACCGACTAGTTTTTGCCCAAGGTTGCTAGCACCTTGGGCAGAGTCGCCAGCACCTTGGCTGGGCCGGTGCCGAAAGTCCGAAAATTTTCCGACCCGAAAAAAATAATAAAAAATACGAGCGCGTAGGAAATTGAATTTGGCACGGTGGTTGTCGGGGCCGTTTTCCCAGATTTCGAGAATTGCTCCGAAAACGTCGGGAGCGACTAGTTTTTGCCCAAGGTTGCTAGCACCTTGGGCAGAGTCGCCAGCACCTTGGCTGGGCCGGTGCCGAAAGTCCGAAAATTTTCCGACCCGAAAAAAATAATAAAAAATACGAGCGCGTAGGAAATTGAATTTGGCACGGTGGTTGTCGGGGCCGTTTTCTCAGATTTCGAGAATTGCTCCGAAAACGTCGGGACCGACTAGTTTTTGCCACAAGGTTGCTAGCACCTTGGGCAGAGTCGCCAGCACATTGGCTGGGCCGGTGCCGAAAGTCCGAAAATTTTCCGACCCGGAAAAAAATAATAAAATATACGAGCGCGTAGGAACACCAGAACCTGTGCACGGTGGTTGTCGGGGCCGTTTTCCCAGATTTCGAGAATTGCTCCGAAAACGTCGGGAGCGACTAGTTTTTGCCCAAGGTTGCTAGCACCTTGGGCAGAGTCGCCAGCACATTGGCTGGGCCGGTGCCGAAAGTCCGAAAATTTTCCGACCCGAAAAAAATAATAAAAAATCCGGGCGGGTAGGAATTTGAATTTGCCCCGGTGGTTGTCGGGCCCTTTTTTTCAGATTTCGGGAATTTTTCCGAAAACGTCGGACCGACTAGTTTTGCCCAAGGTTGCTAGCCCCTTGAGCAGAGTCGCCAGCACCTTGGCTGGCCCGGTGCCGAAAGTCTGAAAATTTTCCGACCCGAAAAAAATAATAAAAAATACGAGCGCGTAGGAAATTGAATTTGGCACGGTGGTTGTCGGGGCCGTTTTCTCAGATTTCGAGAATTGCTCCGAAAACGTCGGGACCGACTAGTTTTTGCCCAAGGTTGCTAGCACCTTGGGCAGAGTCGCCAGCACCTTGGCTGGGCCGGTGCCGAAAGTCCGAAAATTTTCCGACCCGAAAAAAATAATAAAAAATACGAGCGCGTAGGAAATTGAATTTGGCACGGTGGTTGTCGGGGCCGTTTTCTCAGATTTCGAGAATTGCTCCGAAAACGTCGGGGCATGTTGTTAGGGAACAATAAGTCGATGAACAATGATAAATGTTTTCAACGTATCTTTTGCTACGAAGATGTCCGAAAATTTTCCGACGGGGGGGGGGGGGGGGGGGTATGATTCCACGGAGAATGGTTATGTTTTTCGGTGTAGTAACGAGCTTTGGTGTTTTTTTCACTATTTTAACGAATATATTAGTTAAAATAATGAATAAATAGAAATTAAATATTAAAAGTACCCGAATAATATAAATAATAATTACTATTTCGTAAAAGAACTATCCACAGTACCTTTCCACTCTTCAAACCTCATACCCGAATTAATATTCTCTAATTATTATCTATTTTTTGAATTAAAATAATAAAAAAATGTAATTAAAAATCATAAAAATAAAATAAAAATTTCATAAATTCATGTAACTACAGCAGGAGCCAAATGGGATAATTTTCGTGATTTTTCGAATATATTTTGATATTTTTCTCTATTTATTATCTATTTTACTGTATTTCTTGAATTAAAATAATAAAAAAATATAAATAAAAACCAGAAAAATAAAATAAAATTTCAAGAACTCTTGAATAATCAACAGGAACTAATTGGCATAACTTTCGTGATTTTTAAAATATATTTCGATATTTTTCTCTATTTATTATCTATTTTATTGTATTTTTTTGAATTAAAATAATAAAAAATATAATTACAAACCAGAAAAATAAAAAAAAAATTCAACAATTATTGTAATATCAACAGGAACTATTTGGCATAATTTTCGTGATT